CATGCACTCTAAAGTAATCACAGGTGCTAAAAAAGCAGAGCACTTTGGGGTCTATTCACTAAGGCAGCCGAGTGAATGACCGACCTGAAGTGAAGTTAGACGAACACTGTTAGGCTATTCACTTCAGGCTGGTACAGCTGATTTCAGCCGTATATCGGCTGAAATCAGCCGTACATCGGCTTGCTTCGAATGGCTTTGGGTGGGCCGAACATGCACAGCATGTTCGGCCCACCCGAAGTGCAGAAGGAGTTCGACTCAGCCGATCCAACATCTGGATCGGCTGAGCCGAACCTCCGGCAGGCTACTCACTGCTGTTTGGCCTATTCTTATAGATGCTGAACACTCTAGCAATGCATTCCAATGGGCAAAACAATTTATTTTTTTCTATTCTGACACGGCCCCATGTCAGAATTAAAAAAAAGAATCAGCAGTGTTTCTCTCCTTGGCGGCCGGGAGCGGGAGACTTCCAAATGTTCATTCAAAATGACGGTCACGTTACCACAACACAATTGTCTGAATGAGCCCTAAAGGAAATCTGGAGAGTCTGCCATTGATGAACTTTTCTTCTGATAACACCAACGCTCATGTGTTCATAGTAGTTTCCACTAGACATGTGCACCAGCAAAAAAATTTGTTTCGTTTCGATTCAGATTTTGCTTTATTTCTTTTTTCGAAATTCGGGTCCGAAAGTCAATTAGTTTCGGAATTCGGATTCGGACGAGATTCGTTAGTGGTAATCCGTACGAAATTTAGTTTTGTTTTCGTTTCATTCGTTCGTTGCAGCAAAGTGACATTTAAGAGGAAAAAAAAGTTTCTTTGTTCTCAAATGTCACTTTGCTGCAACGAAATTTCGTCCAAAAAACGAAAGTTCGTCCAGACTGCCGCTAACGAATTTCGGAAATTGGAAATTCGGATTTGTTTGCATTCGTTATATCTGTAATTGGGAATTCGGATACATCCGAATCCCCGAATTTCTGACATTTCGTCTGAATTTCGATTCGGAACGAAACGCATCGCACATGTCTAGTTTCCACATATACTAAGATAGCATCAATCATATGGCTATAAAGACAGTTTATTATGTATTAATGGCACAAGTCCACACTTGTCATCATGATGTATTTTTTGCTGTATTTTGGAATGATGTGCTTTCTGGTGTATGTTCATGTGAATGCACTAAAGGTGTGTGGTTTTGTGCATATTAAAAAAAACCCACTTACTTCACGTTTTACTCTGTGCTTTTATTTCATACATTTTTATTTCAAAATGTATACATGATGGCATTTCCTGGTTACATGATTACATAGGTAGAATTCCATATTTATGCCAATTACAGTGATAATTATTCCATAATTAAAATAATTATTAAGCCTAATGTAAGTTACATGTGACTTGATGACACCTTTATAACACATTACATTTATTTTTAAACCATGGGTCACCTAATCCTGTGAGGCAAGGATGAAGAGGCCTTTAACTGGTAGTATGCTCCATGGCAATCAGTAAAGATGTTCAGTGACTCTCCACTTGCAAAGCACCCAGCATATCTTAGTCTGTGTGTCTTGCCATTATTATTTTTTCATAAATATAGGAAGCATGTATTTTCCACATGGCTGTGGCTTTGAATGCCCATAATTAAGCCTTCTACTTTAGTAAATTAGACCATGTATCTTAATCACAACTTGTGTTCAACACAGAGGTGAATCCATGTATCTGTACATAGCCTCAGCACAGCACATCAAGCTGAATCTGTGACGATTAAGGCCCCATTCACACTGAATCCGTTGCATTACGTTACCATCACTTTTTATCAGATGGTAATGCAAGGTTAATGAAAAATGAATGGGGACACTGCAGCGTTGTAGTGCTGCACGTTGTGTTGCTGAAACAAAAAGTAGCGCATACTCTTTTTTTCAGTGCGACGCATCCCATAAAAAAAATTCATGCTAATGGGTGCTAACACAACGGAACGTATGCAAGCCATTACAGTACGTATGCAAGCCATAAAGTAACATGTCCTGAGTGACCACTCAGGACATGTTACTTCACATAAAATTTGCCAAAAAAAGAAAGAAAAAATGTGCCGGTATGCAACGGATCAGAAGGAAATCGGAAGGTGCACTTGTAAGTCAGCGGACCTTGCGAGTACCTTCCAATTTTGGTGTGAATGCACCATTAAAGTAGAACTGAAGCTTTTTTTATAGATAGAGTAAGGGAGGGTTATATCCCCCTGTCAGCTTTTTTTGCCATTTGTGTCCCATTGGGGAGATTTCCCATCACTTCCTGTCTGATAACCACTACAGAAAGTGAGAGAAAATCCTTCCAAGAAGAGGATAATCCCTGGTGGCCAGAAGGGTCACCAGAACTAGTGTCCCCATTGGAAGATTCCTGTTTTGGTGAGAACCCAAAAATGTTAGATTTTCTTTCACTTTTATTGTCAACAGTCACCAGGACAAAGAGAGGGGGAATCTCAATAACGGGAACAAAAAAAGCAATAAAAACCAGAGTCTATCCAAAAAAGTAAAAAACAAAGTTTTGGCCCGTGTTGTATTTTAAGTATTTTCTCCTGTGTATGTGACTGAATCTACTGGTGTCTAAGTGAGTAATACAGTAAAATAGGTGTACATATTGTATTTAATATTTTAAAGGTGACCAAAAAATGGAGGAGTTCTCATTCAGATGAGCCCATACCTCTAATATTGTGCCTGGCATACTAAAGCAGCAGATGCTTAATCAGCCAGGGCACACCATTTGGAAAATCTCTGAGCATCAGTATGCATGGTTGCATCATGTACTCATGAAATGACCTGATCTGTAGCCAATGGTAATGGCATGGGACTTTCAGGAATTTCAAGATAGTTGAAACAAACTAAACAAAAACAATAACAAAAATCACTTCAGTTAGGTTGTGCAATGGTGTGTATTTATTTATTAAAACCTGAATGTTCAGTAAAAGTATTTGAAAGTGAAGACAGCTTGAATGGCTCCAGTCATTTGTCTTCCTTCTCAATCTACAGTATATGATTCTGTTTAGGGAACTACAACAGGCAAGTATAAAGACAGACTGAGGTAATCCTGTGCTGTCAGAACTGTACAAAATTTCCCAGCACTTGATCCTGTCAGCACAGAAGTATATAAATATATAGAAATTAATAAATTGGAAATTAGCTTACCTTTAGGGCAGACCCATCCTACTTAGAGGGGTCTATTGATAAACAATGCACAGAGCCATTTACCCTGAAAATGTCTATGCTTATTTTCTATGTTCCTTAGCTATATCTAGTGGCCATAATAAAAAAGTTTGTTTTTGCATCTATTCACAGAACATTAATTATCACAGAGATTTGCAGGGCATATGGCTCTGTTAATTGTTTAAACCTCAGAGTGTATGTAAGGGCAAAAAAACACATGAAGATCTTCTCTGCAAAGCATGTACATTTCCCCAAGCTCCCAGAAAAGCACTCAAATCCTAATTTTCTATTGTGTACTGACAACACACAGCATTTTTGTGGACTGAATGGTGTCAGCCCTGCCCACTTATCTTTTTCTAAAATACTGAATCCTGCCTCCTCCCTTCATTTCCACAACATAGTGACTTATTGTTCTGTAGTGCAAGATAGGGAATATGAGCTAATTAGACTCCTAAAGTGCACTTGTGCACATGAATTTATTCATATATTCTTAACAAATCGCAAATTATTTGGAAACAAGCCATCCTGACTTCTCTAGCTACTTTCAGTCTGAATTAATTCAATCTCAAAGATCATTGAAGAACACAATAAAGACCCAGGGGGAAAGATTTCAGTGGTTTCTAACAGAATCATCTGCTACGTGTTTGTAGTAGAGGGCTGACAGCCTGCCAAGATTCTGTTCTCATAAATCAGTGCTTGTGTTGTGAAGCTTGAGAATTTTAATTTACATGCTTTAGTGTGCATAATCTGAGCACAGGAAGTGTGCACAGGACTACTCAAAGTTTCTGACATGATCGACGGGCACTTGTTGAAGAGATATAACAAAACACTTTCAATGGTATATTTAACAGCAAAAGGGAGCAAATAAGAGAAATGAATTGTTAGGGTTTACATACATGCTAAAGGTACAGCAACATACTAGAAGTCCAGGTTCACTCAAAGCTACTGAAGACCACCAGTCAGTTTCAACAAACCGAAAATATAGTTACTGCACAAATCCATTTACAAATAGCAAAGAACAGATACCTGAGGGCAGATGAATTTATTGAATGAAATTCAATGAATGAAATCTGACTTTACTACATATGTTATAAAGGTAGAACTAACTGGTTTTGTAGCTCAGGTAAGGTACATTGTGTGCATTTCCTCTTTTTAATATTCAGTACAAGTAAGAGTTGTTAATGACAATTGTGTATGGCATTATTGAGGCCTTAAAGCTGAGACTGTCAAAACTTCCACCTCACTGCAAGGGTTAAATGCTAATCTCGGTCTAGGGTACCATTAGAAAACTTTTTTGTAGCGTATCCCTGACTCCTTCAGGTTTCCTTCCTGCTGTGTAACTGGTCCCCTGAAGCCTCTGATCTTTGGTGATCCTGCTACTGCATTATGGCCACTAGATGGAGCCAATGAGCAGAGGAAATCCTATGCTCCTCAGCTCCATCTAGAGGCCATAACACAGTATGAATGTAAAAGTCAGATTTTCACAGAATGAACGGCTCTGTGAATGTTTTATTAATACAACCCATAGTGTTTTTTTTTTTAACTCTGATCATAATGCAAAGTTTTTTTTAAGAACTGACCAGCAAATCTGTTTAAATTGGCTTGATAAAATAAGATTAGTGTTTTTTATTCATGTCTTTTAATAATGCATTATTTATTCCATTGCTTGTCAGTCTCTAAGCTTTCCAACTGCCCTAACTAAATAAGGAGCATCCAATCTCGTGGAAGACAAAATCTTGTTTTTTGTAAAATTCCCCTCCAGATAATTAGGTATTACTCAAGCTATTAAACTGATACACTTTGATAAAATCATATGCAAATATTTTGAGTTCCTTCTGTCAAAAACCATTTAACACTACAGTTGAGCGCCTACACTACACAGTAGCCCATTGCACAGCCATCTGCCCTGGGATCAGATCCAGCCCACCACACCCTGCTATTGTTAATGGGGATGTGAGCTGTTTTCCACCACTCTCCATTACTTATAATTTGTCCACGTCCAAACAGTTTCCTGTCATGGCTAGTAATGGGCCAGTGCACCTCATGGCCTCTTGCCTTCAGGTCTTCTACTACATCACTGGCAATCCCATCCTCAAGGTACAGGTGCCATTTCTGATCTGAATATGAAAAAAAGGGAAAAGTAAAACGAATTACAAAATGTGAGAAATAAGCAGAAATCAAAACTTTAGCTTGAACACTGCTATAGCTATACATGTTTCATGCAATCATTTGACATGAACATATTGCTAATATAGCACTGCAATTAGAAAAACCAAGAAAGCAAGTTGTCTTGACTTGAAGCTCTCCGTCAACTTTTACCACATCTATCACCTTTTTCTATTTTCCAGCTGAATAATGCACTCTGTGCCCCATGCACATCAATGAAAATGCCCGTCACAAGCATTTTAGTGTGTTTTTTTGCAAATTTTTACATGTTTGTGCACTTACCAATGATTCAACTCCTAGCCTGTGAACACAATGCAGGATTTGGGGGTTTCCATGCTGGAGGTGGAGACTTTTATTAACCGGGTGAAGGCCCACAAGAACATATACGACCACAGTGATACCCATTACAAGGGCTGTGGTATGCGGCAAAGGGCATAGGAGGAAAGTCAGAGTGAAGTTTGGGAGCTCTGATAGCACAAGACATCACACCAGGAAGCAGATACAAGGATGATGATGACATATGATGTCACAGACGATTCTGCTTTCCCTTGGTCAAAACAAAAAGGCATGACTTCCGGAGGCAGATGCATCACAGGATTTGTTGTTTCACCACAGCTGAAGGGCTAAACACTCCGCATAAAGAGACAGGAGATGCTTATTGGCTTGCATGCCGATCCACTCACATGCAGGAAGAAAGGAAAGACTGGCAGAGGATTCACTGAAGTAACCATATAACATCAAACTTAATTCTATTTTTCAAACATAATACAGTTATGTACTGTATAATAGCTAAACCCCAAGTCTGGACACAATAATCTTGCCAAATTAATGCAAGTTGAAAGTCCATTAGCTGTAAAGCCACATACCATATTCTACACTGCCGCCTTCTCCATTCAATTCATCTTTTCATTTGGGTGGAAGCTCCCATTGGACTCTCGTCCTCTCTGGCTGTAAGCAGGTCTCATAGACCTCAGCGCTGTGGTCGCATCTCCATGCCCTTTCCCTCTGGCCAATCACAGAACAGCCCCAGGCTTTGTTCTGTGATTGGCCAATAAACAAATTGTATATAAAACCGTCACTGTGCTCTTTTTCTCTTAATTGAATGTGTGGGCTGGGAAAGTGTGCATTGTATGTTGATTTTATATAGAAATAAAAATGCTGCAGAAATTGTGACTCCTTCCCACTCCATACAAAGCTAATAATGTACTATGAGGCCATCAGATATCCAGCCTTTATCATTCTTGGTGTCCCTCTTTAATAACAGGTCCAGCATAAATATCCTTTTACTAGCTGTTCACAAAATAGCCTACATGACATTTTATTTGTCCAGAGAATTTTAATACTTCAGACTTTATTGAAATTCACAGCAAATCCAGAGTAAGTGTGTTACATACACTGTTACTCTGAATTTGCTGTGAATTTCATTAAAGTCTGAAGTATTGGAATTCTCTGGATAGTGCGGTCTGTTCATATACTACTACATTCCAAGGTGGAGATGCACTTATTAGACCAGCACCTGGAGAGTCCGGATGGGGGCTAGGGGATTGGAACGGTGAGATTTCTTTTGGCTCGACATTTTATCTGTGTTTAGCTGCACTGAAGTATACTCTGCTAATAAAATCCTTACCTTTGTTATTATACTCAACATAAAATCGAGGCGCATCAAGAGCCAGTTGTGGATTCATTCCAAATTCTGCCATGTTTAAAAGAACCTACAAAAATAATAAATATATAATCAAAGTGAAGCCGTGATTAGATAGGAATTGCCATAGAGAATTTGTTTCTGGACTAAATCACCCAACCAACATCCTCTCTCTGCTACCATTGAGGTCCATCAGTTAGTTGAAAGAATTAATGTGAATTCAGTAGGACCATAGCAGTGAAGATTACTGTTAGAAAGTCACAATTGTGGATTTTTCTAACCACTCACCATCCAAAAAAAGATTATCAGTCAAGATGGAATTGTAATTTAATAGAGAGAAAAAAATAATAATGACAGAGGCATACACAAGACAGAGGCATACACAAGACAAGTCAGTCTTGTATACTTGTACAGGCTCCTTTTCTGTACTGAAAATTCTTATTTCATGATAAACTTCTCATTGTGCATTAAAAGTTGTAGCCAGTCAGATAAAGCCCACATAATTTAGGTATATGAACTACAAAGCTTCTCTTGTGGTGGAGCAGTGGTCAAAATACATCAGTATCATACAACCTAATGTCCATGGTTGCTTGCTGGCTGTTTCTGATTACATGTGACATATTGTTGATTCCCTAATTTACAGACTGTATATTGTTTGTACTGCATATCCCCACCCAAAAACTTGAGGAAAACCAGTCAAATTATTTAATATATTGTTCACTTAACAGCTAGCATTTTCTTTTATTATCTTATTTTTCTCTCAATGCAACCCAAAATACTAAGTAAACAATGCACTTTGCGGTCAGCCTCAGTCTCTTACTAAGCAGCAAGCACTAGTTCCAGCGAGAAGCCAAAATAAAATCAATATTATAAATGTAATGTGTCGCGCTCTCAAATGTGCTCTATATCTAGATGCAATATATATACATATTCACAGAGTGCACTATGGAGTGTCCCCCATATGTCTCCATCTGCTGAGATTTCATTGATACCACTGGGGAGTGCTTCCAGCTCTGGAGTCCTTATAGTGGAAAAAGAAAGAGGAAATCTTTTTCACGGTGGAAACACCTGCTATCTTCCCGCCTGAGATTTAAGAGGGAAGTGGCTTTTTCAGACCTTTATAATGTAAGGTCGTATGGAGAGGTGAGAGTTATTCTATTATGAGTGGAAAGTGGAGATCACAAGGAGCACAAAGGGATTATCTAATCACCAGTTACTTGCATTCAGTTTTGTAATGGAGGCACTTTGTAAAGCTGCCCATACACCTGATGATTATCGTACTATATTCGCGGGTGATCCTGTGATCGTACGATAATCGTACGGTGTATGGGCAGCGTGCGACCGCATATACTGTAAGGTCGCACGACTTTCGTCTTACGAGCACGGAAGCGCGATCGCAGGACGAAAGCCGCACGGGCCGAGGTGCGCAAGCGCACACTGCCCGCTCAACATGGCAATCATCTGTAAGCCCTCCCCGCTGATTATCCATGATTATTGTGATGATCGCACGTACGATCTGCCTGTCCAAGATGGGCAGGTCGTACGAACTTTTAATATGTAAGAATTATGGATTTGTCTCTACACTGAAAAAGAGTACAACATGCATAAAAAGGGGTCTGGAGCGCAGCACACTGTGGTGAATAAAGATGAATGAAATGTAATTTTGTGACATTTTTATACATTTAAGTAAACAGTGTGATGTATCATCTCCACTGGGGGTGCATGTGACAGGGTGACAATACAGGAGCCCAGTTGGGAGACAGTTGTCACCCTATAACATGAAGTGCCAGAATAAAGCAGGATCACCAGGAATATTTGAGTAACAACTTGGCAATAAAAACATTAAAGATTATACAAAATTTTAGTGATTGGCTTTAGAACACTTCAGTATATTTTATAATTGCAATATTCCACATTGGTATTATTTAGGATATCCTCTGTTACTAGCGTTCAAGTCTCATTTTGGGAATGAAAAGCCTAAATGAGTTTGCAGATGAAAGCATTAAAAAAAACATATTAACAATATACCAGGGCCTGAAGAATTTCACTGACATGAAAAGTGTATTGTTTCCTAGTGCTAAGTGTTTTGTGTATAGATGTATTCAACTGGAGAAAAAAATCACATTTCTTTCAGGTTCAGTGCCAGAAAGAATGGCTTAACAATCTTCTATGCCTACAATAATTTCTTCATGCACTTAAATAAAATGTTCTCAATGTTTGTGTCTAGTAAATACTCAATTTTGACCTTTCTATAAGTCTGCCATGAACGTCTAAGAACTCACCAAGGCTTCCAGTAGGAAATATACGGGACTATTCACTAAGCTGCCGTAGGCAGCGCAGTAAAAGACCGATCTGAAGTGAAGTGAGCCAAACACTGTTCGGCTATTCACTTCAGGCTGGTACGGCTGATTTCAGCAGTACATCGGCTGAAATCAGCCGTACATCGGCTCACTTCACTGAGCATGTTCGGCCGACCCGAAGTGCAGAAGGAGTTCGACTCAGCCGATCCAACATCTGGATCGGCTGAGCCGAACCTCCGGCAGGCTTTTCACTGCTGTTCGGGCTATTCTTAAAGATGCCGAACAGCAGTGAGTGAATAGCCAAATGCCACTGAGCGGCATTCGGCTCGACTGTTCTGCTCGGTCCCTCAGAGGTACCGAGCAGAACAGAAAAAGAGTGAAAAAAGTTAAAAAAGTAAATACAAAACGATTGTGCGGAGCTAGCAGTGACAGCTAGCTCCGCCCAATAGTTTCCTATTGTCCGGCGGCTCTGCTGCTGTAAAAAAAAAAAGGAAAAAAAAAAACTCTCCCGGGAGCTGGCCTCCTGGCCGCCCAGGAGAGAAACACCGCTGTGTCTTTTTTTCTTTATTCTGACACGAGCGATATCAGAATACGTAAGATGACGGCAAGCAGGCTGTCGGCCAATGGCCGGCCGCTCGGCCAGCTCCGGCTTTCAGCACGGCTCAGCCAAGCCGATGCATATGCGTTCGGCTCGGCTGAGTCGCTCGGCCATGATCGGGAGCTGTACGGGCTATTGTGAGTAGCCCGTACAGCACCCCTTGGTTCTACTGAACCGAAGGGGTCCTGGGGCCGAAGCTAGCCGAAGGATCGGCCAAAGCTACAGCCAGATCCTACGGCAGCTTCGTGAATAGACCCCATAGATTCATTTTGAATAGCGTTTTCTTTGTAAACCTTTACATCGTACCCTTCGATTTACATTTTTTCATTGAATGTTGATTTCACCCTTTACCTGCACATGGCCTTGTGGTTGCATGAAGCCCCCCATCACACCAAATGTACACAACAAGTCTTCGGTGTCTGCAGTGGTGGCTAGTGCTGGTATAATTGTATGGAAGGGACGTTTTCCAGGTGAGAGGCAATTTGGGTGTCCAGGGGAAAGGGAGAAATTTTTCCCTCGGTTCTAAAATATAAAGTTCAAAACAGAAATAAAAGTTTTAGTGTTAAAATTGTACTTATTTAATCTGATAATCGTTTCTTTTATAAGCAACCCTATTTAGCCCTTGCCTATGCAGGCATTTTTTCATCCATGATCTCATCCTTGGCCAATTTAAAGTGAGAATCCTGGCAAAGAATGACCACGATATTATGAAGAATGTAATGCCCATTTGCATGTTGTTCTGCTGAGCTGGCCTATACTCACTAATTTGGAATGGATACTACCTGTGACTGTGAAAGCACTTAACACCTGAATCAGCATGTCAATTCTCAAGTTACATTACTATAAAAGCTTTATGCATCATTGTAAAATCTCTCATTAGCAATATTCTCTTAATAAAATAAAATTAAAGTTTATGTACAGGCAAATCTTTTTTTCTAGTTTTGGATAGAGTATGGAAGGATCAGAACTCTTGTCAAGTTTTTATCGTTGTCTTTGTCCCCACGGTGGGGGTGTCAGGGGGACATGTACCCCTCTGTTGATTGTTACCTAGACAAGATCCAAAATGTTGAGTTGTCACTAGGAGAGATAGAGGGTCAATATTTCAAAAGGAATATTTGTTCTGGTTAGTTTTCTAAGACAGGAAGTAATGTTAAATGTATCTGATGGGAAAACTTTTTTATTAGAAGGGTGTTAGCCCTTTCCTACTCTATCTAAAAGAACATTTTATTGTAGGTGTCCAACACACTGCTTACTAGTGAATTACTGTTCATTTGCTGCAAAGCATGTGCATTGGGGTGCAATTCAGAATGAATGGCACCGCAGCACAGCAACATGCATTATGTCCGTTGATGTGCATTATCACAATCCAACAAAGTAAATGGGCCAAAAATGTTGTTTGAGATTTATTTGAGTTCCTGCATCAGCATAAACACATGAGCCCCAGGCAGGATGCCTCAAATAATGACCCTTTCTCTCTGTGTGGAATCAGGGGTCTCTCTGCAGTGGTCCAATACAATACAGACACATTGTACAAAATTTAGCAAATTTTAATATAAGCAATTTACGTGCTAATTTTGGTTTGAGCTATTCAGCACTGTAAACAGCAGGCATTTTGCAACAGGAAAGCAGAGGAGAAACTGGAAAACATGTAAAGAAAATGTGAAAAGTGTTTTAAAGAGTCACTGTTAATATGCTCATTCAGGACAAAGTGACAGGGTCTTTTGTATTTTTTAGATAATGATCTTTTAATTTCTTTTCATACTGGATTAGTAGACACAACTGCAGAATTGTTTAAACATTATATAACAATATCAAGGCAAAGAAAAAAGTGCTTATGTCATTTTTGGAAAGTTTGGTAATATTGCAAGAAACAGCAGCTGAATCATATCATGCCACTCCCCGGTTTC